CCCCAAAACCCCAAAACCCCAAAACCCCTTCTGGATATCACTTGATTGAATTTATTCAAAAATGCCAACTTTCATCTGGGTCTTTTGATTTCTCAAATTTTAAACGATCTTGAGAGGGTAAAAAGATAAAATAAAAGCTGAAAAGCATTGCTAAAACCTCGTTATTGTAGAGTCTAGGTTTCAACTCTCTCTAAAGTGCTCAAACTCTATCAGATTCATATTTTTTGAATCTTGGCTTTCTTAGCATAAACCTATATTGAACAAAGTTCTTCAATTTGTGGGGTTAGTTTCATTTCAGCTTTCTTTCACCCCCAAACTGTGTTAAGCTTTATTAATGCTTCAGAAGCTTAATAAATCAATAGATATCTATTGTATAGCCTGAACCATTTGAGTATCATAAACTAAATCCTACTTCCTACTTAACAATAATTAGCTAGGTATTTGCAACAAAGACCGATACTTATATTAAGAGGAGAAAGAATTTAATAGTCTTAATAAGTTCCAAAATGTGACAATTTATTTATGAATATGAATTTATGCCTGATTTCGATATTCCACGGCTCATCACAAATCGACATCTGAGAATTCTTCTAGCAAAGAGAGTGCTATAAAGTTCAGGTAATGGTAATCTCTAAAAAATTTAAATCTCTACTGAGTTCCTGATAAGTCTTGACAAGAGATCACTAGGCATTCCTTAGGACTATCAGTAAGAGATGGTGATCAATAAACCCATCAGTTTTAGAAACAGTTGAAGCTGTAACTCACGTTAGGAGAAAACAAAGTCATAGGAAGTCCTAGATGTGACTTCTCAATATGACAAACCTTGCAAAATTGTACCGGAATATGGAAATCAGTTAAATATTGCAAGAGAAAATAGGCTACTTATTTGTTGCAAAAAACTTATCTTATACCAAGTTATGAATAAAACTTTCTTCTTACACTGAGAGCAATATTACCGTTCCTTATGGTTCAGATTTCCATTATAAAATCACAGATGGTAAATTATTAACCATTATTGTTCAGGGGTATTATAAGAAAAAATAACTTAATAAGTTTTTGGACATCATCTCATCCTCTTCAGCTCAGCATCTGCCCTAAATTCTATAATTTCGTTAATCCCCTAAAAACTGAGCTTACTCTCCACAAGTCTAGCCCCTATAATTATTGATTCATAAAATCACCAGAATATGTTATTTCCCAAACCTCAGTTTTTTTTCATGCAAAAAGTACAGATCTAGCTAGGATTAGACCAATGGCCCAAAAATAAGACTTCCCTAGCATAATTAAGAAAGTAGCATTGTTATCATAATTACTGAAAGAAAAAGCAACATAGAGTCTATAGCCATAACATTCTACATTAGTATTATACCTGAAAGATGCTCAAGAGCCCTCAGCCTTGTTAAAGATGCAACAACTGAAACCCTACCAAAATATAGAACCAAATCAGAGTACTGGCTAGGATGTAAAATAAAGGAATCAGGATATCGCTCACCATTTATGAGCAATTGCTGTTAACTTTAGAAGCCCTCATATCTCAGTTTGTTAAGAATTAAATATGACTTAATTATAATAAGAGTGATTCTCTGGTCTATATAAACTTGTAAATTAATAACATGAGATTTTTATACTTTGGGATACTTTGGATAGGAAAATTTCAGTAGTTTTAAAATTACTGAAGACTAAAAATAAATTTTATTATATGAGTTATAAGATAGTTTGGAATTAGTGGTAGGAAAGTAGCCCAGCTTGGCAGACGCAGAGACAGTTTAGGGGGGATTAACGAAGGTTTGTTTTAATTATAGTGAGGAGTTCTATAGATCAATCATGGATATCAGTTTTTCGTTTATACTGAACCATTATGAGCACGATTCTTCGTGCTTTAATACTTTAAATTTTTATCTCAGTTATTAGCTCGTTTTGGAATCTATAAGCGAGAGACGATAAACTATTTCTTGTCTAAGTATTCTTACCCTTATCATACTAACACTCATCTACAAGAGAATTATATTTAGGCCAGAAGTTCTTTCTATTCACGAAATATAGCATCAAATTTTTAAAACTGACCTATACTAACCCTACTCCTTCTACACTGAACGACAGATGGCATCTTTGAAATTCATCATTTGATCTTTGAAAACCCTAATTCCAAATTTAGAGCCAATTCAAGCAAATCATAGACCTTTTTTTTCTTTAAAAGCCATAAAGCGTATGGTTTCTGAATCTGAAACATCTTTATGCTTAGACCTTCAATTGTAGAACTGACAGACTATCTCAACGTCAAGGCTAGTACTATTGCAAGCGATATGGTTTTATAGAGCTGTTTATGAAACTTCAAAACAAATCTATTCAGGGCTCGGACTCTAGATATTTTCCCCAAATGTCAAACTAAAATAAACAGTATTTTTGCATTATGTAATGTACTTATTTAAGAATTATTAAGGTTGAAGCAAATTGCTGGCAAGAGTTAGTGCCACACTTCTTCAGACGACCTTGTAGATGCAGCATCGTCGTCTCTAATCATTCATCTCACGATTTTCGGTTGTTTGTTGCTAATGTAGGTGACTTTGAATTCAGGAGTCTCATTCACTTCTTCTACAGCCATCTTTCAGAGAAGCTTCCTCACTCTGAATACATTCGAGCAAGATTTGCTCTTCTTTGACTTTTTTTGAGGAGATTCGAGTGAACGACTGTGACCAAGAGGGTTAGAGAGATTGTTATTCATTTCTATTTACTAGTTTAAATATTATTTTCAATACTGAATAAATAGTTTGGGGTTTTGGGGTTTTGGGGTTTTGGGGG